ACGCACATCTGCTGGAAATTTTGCGAATGCGATCGACAGATGAAGTTACGTGGGCTCGAGCTCTATATAATCGGAAATTAAAAGATGAAAAATCTTCGCTATTATTCTCCGGTTTGCTCGACGCTCCTCTCCACTCATGGGTTGCAAAACCATACAATTCGGTTGCAGCTGCAGGACAGAATCGGATCCTCATCCGCGCTTATGAATTAATCCGTGAGAGTGAACTTGTTATTAAGTCTCGCAAACCAACTCTTTCGGAAGTCGATATTATACTGGAAACACTGCGTAGGCATTCGAAAGATGAATTGATGTGGGCCCGCTTTCTGTACAAGCTAAAACAGGATACAACTGTAAATGTTGTAGTTTCCGAGGTGTTTGACATTCTTCTACAGACAAAAAAGTCAGCACACACACCCAGTGTTTGTATCGCCGCTCTGACAGGTCCGTCCTTCTCATCGAAGGTCGGACTGATGGATTTGAATGCACGGTCTAAAGATGAACTCATGTGGGCCAAACTATTGGACATGTTGGGCAGCAGCGAAAATGAGCAGGCCAATTCTCTGTACAACAAGTTGTTAGATAGACTGCTTGAAAAGTGGCATTTTAAAAACAGATATACTGTGAACGCCATTGATCGGTATTTAGGTGGCTCAAATTTTGGCATGATGATAGAGTACGCGAAATTTTCGAGCGACAACCCCAGTGCGACTCTGCTGAATCATCTACAAGAGCAATTTGGCAACGAACTAAATTTTGCTAGCCAGGTACAAAATTCGGAGAATTTGAAGGGAAATCGAGATGTTGTGTTATGCGCTTTTTTTCAATCATGGATTGGAAAGCCATTTAATGCAGATGTGAATTCAGAAGAATTTCTTAGACTTAAAACAGCATTTGATATTCTGGAGAATTCTAAGGGAAGGCTTCAAAGGGAGAAGCTGGATGACAAGGACACAGCCTTTCCGCCCCTACTCAAAACATTATTTCACATTTCGAATGATGAATTCATGTGGTATCGATTTTTACGCAAATTACAGAACGACACATCCTTCCGTGTCCCTGTGGCTGATTTGGTACAATTTCTTCGTAATATATGGCAGCACAAATTATCAAACACTGCGATTTGATATTTACCCAGTTGAACTCCCATCGATGTGTTTCTCCTGTCAACCAACGACTTGCGATTGGTAGAACAGATCAAGCAAGCAAAGTAGAAACTGTCACAGAACAATCTTTCGGGTGTTGCTGCAATCGTACAACGTCAGTAAAAGCTTCAAAAGTTTTTAGCAAGTGAAAATTCTTTCTTCTTGTCTTACATCTAATGCAAAATTTGTAGAATCTTTGCATACATGAACATTCCAGGTTTTTATACTTAAACAATCTAAGACGGAGCATAATTTTTAGTTACAGTGTAAACTAATGCCAACATTTTCAATGTTATTTAATCTCCCGTTTCACGTACCCTACATCAATCAAACAGTTCATTTTGTCATTAATTACTTCACCATGTCGAGCTTGTTTCTTCGCTCGTATCGCTTCATACCGTATCTGACCGCACCTATCGCTTTGCTATCGATAGAATCTACACGTCTAGAGTCTACAAATGCTGATACTTCGTTGCATCCTGCTCTTGATTATGTCGGCGTATTCATAGAGAAAGAGTCT